CGTGACCAACGTGCTTGACATGGTAAAGTTTTAGGTGGAGCAGGAAGAAGTGTGGAGAAGAGCACTGGTCACAGGGGGGCAAACCGAGTCAAGAAGCGCATGAGGTTGTCATGGCAACCAGGTACACTGCTCACCAATGTTGCCTAGTCTGCGGTTTTCCCGCGGAATTGGGCTATTTTAACACTGTTGCCGCGGGTTGTTTTTCATGTCCGCGGGTTGAAGCGACTCCAATAATGCGATATTTAGCCCCTAGAATGCCCATTTTAGCAGGGGAACCGCGCCAAAAAACGTGTACTTTACCCCCCAGAACGTGATTTTTAACTGGGGACCCCCTCGAAATGGGTTAGTTTTGGAAAATTGTGGAATATTTGGCTTAGTTTTAAGTAGCAATTGGGCGGGTTTTCTTGTGAAAACCTGGCAACCCTGCTGCTCACGAATTATGGCTGCGCTTCTATTTTGCCGCACTAAATTTGGCAATAAACACGTTGAAAATAATACACAATAAACATGTCTGTCAAAACGATCTCAAAGGAGGCTTTAATTAAGCAAATCAATGAGTGAATTACTCATCCACTGTTTTAAAAAAAATACTTTAGCTGGGTTTCCACTGGCAGGGTCACAATTATCTACAGTGTATGAAGCTAAAGGTTTTTGGGTTAAGGTTCATAATGTAGAACATTTTTAACATTGTATACTGTATGTGCATATAGGTAGCTAGCAAACCAAGAATACAGCTGTTAAGCTAGTCACATTTAGCTGAGTAAGATCATGATTGAGAAATGTTGGATACTGCTGGAAATGCTGGTGTTATGGGGTATCCTATTTATTATTTTAGGATTGTTTTGTTTGCCCCAGTGAAGCATTTCTATTAATATAACTGATTAAGTAGTCAAACTCATTCCATATCAGCAGAATAGTGTGATACAGAAAGTCTATGTCCATAAACAGGTTCTGAATTAATTATGTTGCTGATACCTAATGGTCAAAAGCAGTAGCAAAAGTAACAGGTCAACATAATTAAATTGCAGAAAAAGATTTTGAATAGCTAGGCTGGCTTGCACACTATATTGCCAAAAGTATTGGGACACCCCCTTCTAATGAACAGGTTTGACTACTTTTGTAATTTCCATGAGTACAAATCTTAATGTTTAAGCATATAATGCTATTCTAGGGAATTGTGTGCTTCTAATTTTATACCAATAGTTTGAACAGGACCCTTTTCTATTCTAACACGACAATGCTTCTGTGTATAAGGCAAGGTTTAAAAAGAAAAAAAGATTGATTCAGTCAGTGTGGAAGAACTTGACTGGTCTGCACAAAGCCAAGTCCTAATCCCAGGTGAACACCTCTGGTGTGATTTTAGACCTTGAGCCAAAAACTCATGACCAAACACCAATGACTTGTACATACATATGGACAAATGTATTGGGACACCCCCTTCTTTAGAACAGAAAGGGCACTTCCAAAACTGTGGCATCAAAGATGGAAACATAATTCATGTATTTAAAAATTGAATTTCCATCTTTTTTTGACACAGTTTTGGATGTGTCTAAGATGATTGTACGCATATGTACAAGCCATTGGTGTTTGGCGATGAGTTTTTTTTTTTAGTTTTCCCAATACTTTGGGCAATATAGTGTATGTTTGGTGCGGTAGGGGCCAACCTCATATTCTTTCATAGGGCCCAAAATTGCTAGCGGTGCCCCTGAGTAGCCTACACACAGATCTGTAGAACAAGTAGGTTACAGAATGAAATGAAATACGCAAAAACTAGCCACGAAGAAGTCTATGCTATGTCATTCAGTATAGTTACATTTTCACAAATAACTTTCATAAGAGCACTAGACAAAGTTATTGTAGTCATGTATTGTTGCAATGAACTGATAAAATTATCCACCCTTAAATGTAGTAAAGTATTAACAACTTTTGATGAAATAAATAGGGTATGATTTAAAAATAATCATCCCTCCAAAACAGAGAAAATATCTTTCACAAACATCTACATGTCTGTCTCCTTTAAAGTGTTTAATGAAATGAAATACGCAAAAACTAGCCACGAAGAAGTCTATGCTATGTCATTCAGTATAGTTACATTTTCACAAATAACTTTCATAAGAGCACTAGACAAAGTTATTGTAGTCATGTATTGTTGCAATGAACTGATAAAATTATCCACCCTTAAATGTAGTAAAGTATTAACAACTTTTGATGAAATAAATAGGGTATGATTTAAAAATAATCATCCCTCCAAAACAGAGAAAATATCTTTCACAAACATCTACATGTCTGTCTCCTTTAAAGTGTTTAAAGTGTATATAATGAGTTGTATTTGTAGGGGTTATTATAGCACAATTCTTTAACATTCTTTAATTCATACAGTGAACACTATGCAGTGTTATTTCACACTTAATTATTACATTTCTGTACCTGAATACTACTGTTTATATTATCTATTCTTGTAAATTGTGTATTTCTTTTTCTTTCTTTTTTTTACTGAATGTTCACTTGCCTTTAATCATGTTTGAACTTTCTCAGACTATAGTTTTTGCTGTGGTATATGAAGAAGTACTTAAAGTGTATGGAAAGCAAAGTTACAATGATATAAAATTAGTGTCATTAATTTTTTTGTTTGTATGTTCACACTGATGTTAAAATGACATTTTCTAATTTGTGACATTACTTTTTATGTAATGCTAAAACTGCTGGTCACTTTCAGAACTTTTTCAAGAAAGAATGTGAAACAAATTGGTTATATAATTTTCATTTTTAAATGTTTTAAAATATAATTGAAATAGATTTGACACACTTTAAGCAATATCGTATCATATATCGAATATCACATTTTTTAACAAGGTATGGCATATCGCATTTTTCTTCAATATCGCACAGCATTTTTATTTATTTTTTAAATGCAAGTAATCGCACTGGTGCCTCCATGTCCTGCAGAGCGCGCATCAGCTTCCACTCTCCGCACAAACGATTGGATATGCGCCTAACAGCGTTACTTAAAAAAAAAAAACTTACATTTAACGAACAAAAAAATGTTCCAAACGTGTTTCTAAATTAACTATAAAAAAACGAAACGAAATATAATCACTTTTCCATTACATACAAAACTGAACTGTTTTAATAGCTGAAACAGTAGTATAAGCTTTTTTGGGAAAAGGGCAAAAAAGACTGACCAGGGCCTATATTTGAGGCCCGTGCAGGGCTCTAATCCACTTCATCCAACGTTGTTTTGTTCTTTGTTTTCATCTGTGAGCATGCTTAAGGAGGGGAAGAACGAATAAAGCTGCCACCATGTGTATCGATTTTCTGATTGGAGTATTCCAGTACAAAGGCGTCTTTGAGGAGGGAGAGAGTGAACACATTGTCTCCCAAAGGTACCTCCCCAAATACCCTGCTGGAAGCTGGGGCTTGCCGCAGTCACTGAAAAAGTCCTCTGCACATTCTCCTAGGTTAAGTGGAATGGGGTGTGCTAAGAGCGTGGGTGATCCGTTTTACGTCCTGCAAACCTGCAAAGACCCTCCAAAATATCCCCCTGAAAGTCCCCCCCCACCCCCCCCCCCCCCCCCCCACACACACAAAAAAAAATTTATGCGCATACCCTCAGAAGAAATCCTGCAGGCCCCCTGATTTTTAGAATGGTCACGGATCAGTGATCTCCATGTAAAAAAAATATTGTGCAGAGTAGACCAAACCGTATGTCGTAGAGACTTGAAACTTGGAGGGATGGTAGTACTCACACCGCCTACAACGTGACCAAGGCTCGCCCCAATCGGCCTGACGGGGGCGCTACAGTGATTAAAACTATGAAATCGTTCATAACTCCTAAACTGTCAGTAGCAGGCTCAAGTGTCTTATGTTGTTGGAATGCTTGGCTCACGCCAGACAGTCAGATTCAAATATTTAGGATATTTGCATTTTTTTAAAAACCTACTTTTGCGAACTAGTCCCATATTTTTCACCCAATCGGAACCAAACCAGTGCAGAAAGGCTATGAATATCAATAATTATAAAAAAAATTGAACTTTCGACTGACCATTGCAAAGGGGTGCTAAAACGAAAGGGACATGGCCACTTTTAGTAAAATGCCTATAACTCCTGAACAGAATATTTTCATATCAGAATATCTTATGAACAGAATATCTTCCAAACTCAGAACACTTATGTAAAAGCTCTATCTGAGGTCACAGGAAAAAAATCGCAGAGCTTGGCCACTTGGTGGCACTATAAGAGGGGGGGAAAAAAACATAAAAATGATCATAACTGTCCTATCAACATGAAAATTGGTGTGCACGGTTTTGGTCCAAAGTGCCACAAGTGTCTACAAGGACATTTGCGAATCTCAAAAAAAATGGTTGCCTTTGGCTGACGAATTTTGAGCACCTAGTAGACAAGGTTAACGGAGGCCGATCGTTTTCAGAATTCTACTCATTTTAATTAGTAATTATACTTTTACTTTGCTAAAAAATTTTTTTATAAACTATCCATCATACAACAGAAGGCATGTAGTAGATTGTGTACAACAGGTTTTTCAGCAAAGTTTTCATTATTTAAAAAAATATTTAATGCGCAAATATATATATATATAAAAAAAATAATTTGAAACTAAGTCATGCAACTCAAGTCAACAACCCTGCCAAGTATTTACCATAATATGAGTAATTTAATTAAAAAAAAACTGTAAGAATAGACATCACAAAATAGTAATTCTGCCAGAAATTTGTCTTGTCTCTCAAGATGTTGCTAATTGAAATTAAAGACATACCCTATATTTATCAACTTTAAGTGACTACTGATTAAATGTGAAGAATGTTAAACTTGCATCAGACTGCATGACGACTTGTTATATTCACCTGAAAGTCTTCAGCAAGGAAAAACAATGTGCTGAATGTTGACATCTGCACAGCAAATGATTAAATGTTCTAAGATCTCATACCCAAGTCTTTGGAGACCTGCTTTACTGTTGTTCACTGGTTCTCATTATCTTTTACTAGGTGGCAGCAATAAACCCTAACCACCCACTGGCTCAGATGCCCCTGCCTCCCTCCATGAAGAACTGCATTCAACTGGCCGCCTGTGAGGCCAATGAACTCCTACCCATGAACCCTGACCTCCCTGCTGACCTTTTCACCTCCTGTCTCACTACACCAATCAAAATTGCCCTACGGTGGTGAGATATATGCTAATTACACATGCATTCAGCTGCATTTACTCATATGATGTACTTACAACCCAGAATAATAGTGAGCCACTCAAACCAGGTATTTTGATCAGAATAGCCCTTATTCTGGCTTGTTTTATTTACGCACATTTAAAAAAAAAAATTCCTGTGTGCTCTACAAAGTAAACAGGAGATTAGCTAATGGAGGTTAAGTATTCAGTGTAGTCACTCATTATATATATCAATAAGGGATCATGTGCAGTTACCAGGTCATTATTGCAAATTAGACACCATGGAGGGATCTTGTATTACCCTGAAGGGGTTTATTTTGAGGTATTGACTTGAGGATTTTGAGGTTACATAAATAAATAAATGGATATTGTAATGGTGTCATGGAATGCTTTTTTATTTTATGTATTTATTTTTGTTATTTAATATTTTACTGTGCTTCCTGAGGAACACTTTTAATTTTAGTATTAGTAATTTTAGTCTTTTTTCTCCATCAAAGTCACTCGTAATTTAGGATAATGCTTTATAATAACTAGTGCTGTCAAACGATCAATCGCGATTAATCGCATTCAAAATTAAAGTTTTTGTTTGCATAATATATGTGTGTGTTCTGTGTATATTTATTATGTATATAAATACACACATACAGTATATATTTTGGAAATATTTACATGTCTATATTTATATTTATATAATTTATATTATACATAAATATATTTAATATATAAAAATAAATATTTTCTGAAATATAAACATGCATGTGTGTGTATTTATATATACTGTGTTGCACGCAGGGCGTCGACTGATCTCTCAGTATTGAATTAAACCACTTTAATTATTGCTCAAACTCGTCATGACATCTCGTGGACTCCTGTAGCGAAGGTTGGTGAGTCACGTTTATGTCAGACCTTGTGGTCTGTGTGTGTCTGGATATACTGGAACTCTAATAAACCGAATAAATCTATCAATGCAAATCTCACCATTAAACATGGGGGCATTTAAGAGGATGACATCATAACGAAAGCTAAGGAGGTTGTACATTTGTGAAATGAGTTGAAACGGTTGCTGCAGTTATAAAGTGTTTATGATTTTTTTTTTTTTTCACTTTTTCCCTCCTCTTGGTTTTTTTTTTTTTTTCTTTTTTCAAATAGCTAGAAAGATGAGTTAATGTGCTTGTTAATGTTTACTAATAAGCAGAGTTGGATATAACGTGTTACACGGTACTGTAGTGTTACTGTATTCTAATTACTTTTCCTGGTAACGCAGTAATGTAATGCGTTACAGTTTAAATTTATGTAAATTGATTACAGTTACTAATGTCAATAAAATTACGTTACTTAAGTTACAAATGCAGTGTTAAAAAATATGAAGTAAAAATCATGTTTTGCGCATCAGTTTGCCCTTTTAAAAAATCACTGGAGATTGTGAGCTAAAATGCAGATGAGTCCTACAACATTTAGATGCAATGAAACGTTGCATCTTTCAATATTGCATCATATTTCAAAATGCTGCACTCGATTTCACATATTTTAGTCTGGCATTATAGTTTGGGAAAAGTTCAACAAGTGAATGTGTTCAAGTTTATGTCACAGTAACACTAATATAAGTAAAAATAAATGACTCATCAGAATGAGATTCTCCGCTGGATTAAGCCGCGTCGCATTTCATTCTTCTTCTGAGGTAAATTCAAGGCTTATTCCTCACAGTGCGTCGTCTTCCAAAAACGAACAGTAGCTGTAATGAACTTGATGAATCTTTCTTTGTTTACAAAGGTGATGTGAGCGTTTACATGTTCGCGCATCTCAAGCCTTGTTTTGCGTGGATGATTATAGATGTGGCCTTTAAGAATGCGTATTTTTTCACGTGGCAGCCTGCAATTCACCACACGTGATCACGGAGCTCCCTGCAGGCGCTTTTTCAGATTTTTCTAAAACACTGTTGTGCTTCACACAATATCCACCAGGTGGCACAAGGAACAACATTCTGTAGTTAAACACCACGGCCAGCTCTGTGGTGCGTTTCCCAAAAGCATCGTTAGCCAACTATGGTCACAAGTTCCGTCGTTACCAACATTGTTCAACGAGTCGGTGTTTACCAAAACCATAGTTCAAAGGAACATTCGCAAACAGCAGCGTAAACTTAAGTTGTTGAAACTACAGCTCTCGACCTGTGGTTAGAAGCATAGTTTCTTGTTAGTAAGACATGTGGGCTTATATAAATTATGCTCTTGGGCACAATAAGCAAGCTAACATGATGCAGTACAGTCTATATCTTCCATTCTATGGATATAAAAATGCATTTTAATCTATGTATTTTTGCGCGTCCTCAATAAGCGCCGTTTTAGAAGAGTGAGCATGTGCATAAATGCCTAATGGGACCCCATAGTATGATGTAAGAGGGACCCCCCATGAATCAAACATCAAATAAAGCAAAATGACAGGGAACTGTGGTTGACTTTGTCTGATCTTCACGAAATTTCATAGGGACATTGCCTTCATCATGACAAACAAATTCCCTATTAACTTTTTTAGCTCTGCCCAACAGGAAGTCGGCTATTTTGGATTGTTTGAAAATGGCATGCTGTCGTTTTCGAAACAACCCTCCTAGGGGATTCATGTAAATGGCACCAAATTTCGGTACAATCATGCCAAGACATTGGAGATGTTAAATTGCGGATTACTTTTTTTATATCTCAAATTGGACATACTGTTTTTCCACACAATTCTAAAAACTTCCAAGTTAGTTTTTCTCCTTTTGCGCTCAAGACTACAAGTTTTTTTCTTGAGAGAATGGGTATTACTGTTGTACCATGGCGCAGTAAGTTTTTCTCTAACCTTTTTCAATTTGATGGGGGCAACAGCTTCTAATGTATTAGAGAAGATGGTGCCCATGTTGCTAGTTATTTTGTCTAGTTCATGTGTACTTATGGGTACACAGAGCAGTTGAGATAAATCAGGCAGGTTATTTGTGAATCTGTCTTTGGTGACTGGAACAACAATAGTTCTGCCCGGACGATAACGTGGAGCCATATAGTTAATATCAGTAATACGCAGCATGCACGATACAAGGAAATGGTCAGTAACATCATCACTTTGAGGTACGATATCTATATCAGTAAGATCAATTCCATGCAATATAATTAAATATATTTAATAATTAGATTAATTATTTAATAATTAATAATAATAATTAAAACGGTGTTGCCACGGCGACGTGGTAAAGAAGCATCAAAGCATGAAGCAGGAAGTTTCCTATATTTACCTGTGTGCATCATGTGATTTACTTCAAATAGTTTTTCTTTTTTAATAAATCTGCAAAAATGTCAACAATTCTGTGTTTTTCTGTCAATATGGGGTGCTGTGTGTACATTGAGGAAAAAAACTGAACTTGAATGATTTTAGCAAATGGCTGCAATATTGTTAAGAGTGAAAATTTTAAGGGGGTCTGAACACTTTCCATACCCACTGTATGATTAGCTTTGTGGGCTGATCGCATTGATGTGGCTAGTGTGGGCCATGGCTGTAGCGCCACCAACTGGTGGAAGGAAGTAAGACATTTTAGCAAACTTTTTCCTCTTTCTCTAAATTGCTTCAGATGTTTTTCTAATAACAACAAACTACAGATTTAAAATGATTAAGTACTGGAAAAGTAAAGTACAGTAAAATACTGTTGCCATGACAACACATTAAACATTATCCTTTTCATGATTAATCATGTCTTTTGAGGTACTTGTCATGCTTCAATTTTCATGATCCTTTGCACACTCGTCAGAGTCTTCTCTTTTTATGGCTTGGCAAAGGTTCATAGATGTGCGTGCACAGTGAGCTCTATAGCGCCACCTAGAATATGGGCATATTCAGGGAAATCTGTAGTGCATTCCTTTTCAGCTATGGTCACCAAGCTTTGCACATATATAGATCTTATCAAGTCGGACAGCTTTCACACCACAGACATTCACCTCCACCCAACAGGATGTCAAATATTTTTGACTGGTAAACAGGAAGTGTCTCATATCTTCTACATTCATTGTGTGATTCACATTAAACAACACAGAATTGTTTGGCCTTTTTGGCTGATCACATTAATGTAGCTATTATGGGTCATGGGTGTACAGTAGCACCACCAACTGGAAGAAGAAAGTATCGCATTTACAACAGTATGTTTATCCAAACAGCAAAAACAGTTAAAATGTATGGCAAACAAGAGCTGCACGATTAATCATTACAAGATAACAATTTAAACACCCATTCAGGCTTATTCTTAATTAACAAAGAGTCAGCGGACATGTATGACATAAATGATCACAGCTTCTACTTTTTTCACCAGAATGGTTTGCTTTCTCTTATGACAAACTATAGCTTGACTTGAACCAACATAAGAAATAAATAGTGCTATGTGTTGTTTTTACACAAGTATAATCTAGCGTACAATTACATTTTAATTCCCATCAAATGCCCCTACATTGTTCCTCAAAATCACATATACCGATACTCCCCTTTTATCCTGTTGTGCTCTTTGCCCTGGCTACGGATTTGAATATGTGCGAGGGCCCTTCGTTCCCCTCGGACAGGGGAACAACTCGTTATTATTATTATTTTTTATTTTTTTTACCATCTAAACTTTTTTGGGGGGGCCTTAACGTGCTGAAATACTCTTGAAAATTGGCACACACACATCGGAAAATGCGGTCATTAGGATGCCGCAGAGGCTGGGACCCCGGCGTGGCACAAGGGCTCTACAGCACCCCCTGGAACACAGTCAGAAAACTTGAAGGCAACTTTCTAATTTACAGTCAATAGCTACTGTAATGAAATGTAACTCTTTTGAGAGGGGAATCGAATCTGAAGATTCAAAATCCACCTGATTGAAATGATTCCAAATTTGATAGTTTACACTTTATCAACTGTTCGTCCAGTGAGATGTTAACATCAGTATATCTTAACAATTTGGATATTTGTATTATCCCTGGCCACAGGTTAATACATGCTAGTGATAATTTA